CCCGCGGGCAGCGGACAGGGTTATCCGCTGCCCACGCGCTCCGCGGCTTGGCTCTGCTTTGCCCCCCCGTCTCCCTGGCGGTCAGTTTCAGCAGCGGCTGAATCTGGACGCCAGTTCCGACTTACATACAGATTCAATTTAAGAACAAACCTACAGTCCCTATCTTGTACGTAACCCGGGGACTGCCTGTACTGCCATAATGCCTGAGGAACACACATCATCACTAGTAAATAAAAAATAAAAAATTAATGGAGATTGCCTATCTCCTAGAACTGTGGCGGTCAGTTTCAGCAGCGGCTGAATCTGGACGCCAGTTCCGACTTACATACAGATTCAATTTAAGAACAAACCTACAGTCCCTATCTTGTACGTAACCCGGGGACTGCCTGTACTGCCATAATGCCTGAGGAACACACATCATCACTAGTAAATAAAAAATAAAAAATTAATGGAGATTGCCTATCTCCTAGAACTGGAAGGGACCTTGAAAGATCGAGTCCAGCCCCCTGTCTTCACAGCAGGACCAAGTACCATCCCTGACAAATTTTTGTCCCCAATACCTAAATGGCCCCCACGGATTGAACTCACAACCCTGGGTTTAGCAGGCCAATGCTCAAACCACTGAGCTACCCCTCTCCCCTTAGTGTAAGGAGTGTTCAGCTTTTGTTTTAACCCTCCTAAACCACTTGCTACAGATTACAAATAAAGCTCCAATTTCAACTGGAATGTATTGTAGGTTCTAGCTCCTTAATCAGGAGCGGGAGGCACACATGATAGTTGTTTATATGCGCATTCATCATCTAGCACAATGGCATATGAATCTTGATTAAAGCCTGTAGCTGTTCTAACAATATAAATACTCAACAGCAAACATTTCTGCCCACAACATAAAGATGACTAGAAAAAAGCCTTTTTACACAGCTGTGCTGTTAATGTAACAGAACAGATATTAATTGATCTGGAGCATGTGCGACGCTTCCAGGCAAGGACCGAGCGTTGGGCAGTCAGGCGAAACGCCCCGCGTATGTCAGGGTACTGACTTGGGAACCGTTATGACGCCAATACAGCCTACTGACCCGACCCCTACCTTTCCGCAAATCGCGCTCCGAGAGCATGTTTACACATCTTAGCCAAAAGGCCGAGAAGCGATAGTACACCAGAGCTGAAATGTAAAGAGCCACTGTAGGATGTATTATACAGATACAAGTAAATTGGTTAGCACAGATTATTTCTAAAATGACAAAAGGGGTTCAATTAGAACAGAGCCTCATGATATCCCCTGCGTACAGCAGGAGGCTCACATTTTTTAGTTTTATCTTCTCTTTTCTTCATTAAATGTCACCACATATTAAAACACATAGTTTGATAAACTGATTTAGAATGATGGATTACAGAATGGTAGTTGAACATGTGCTTAAACAATTTCCTGCAAATTATGGCTCTGCACATTCACACCATAATTCACCATAAATACACAGATAACAAAAACAATGAAATTTCTGATTGTACATCAAACAAAACTGCCCCAATGCAATCTAATAAAATGAGAGCAATGTTACTCAGCACTACAGGACGCATGATCGGACAGATGCAGAGGACACTGTGCCAATGATAAAACACTATGTACGTGAACTACTTTTTGTACTATCCAAGGTTCACCACAACAGGAATGAACATGCAGTGCTTATAGGAAGAATCAGGACAGACCTTGCCATCAGCCTCAGCAGAAGTAGCAGTAGAGGTCTCCTGGGAGGCAGATGTTAATGCACCTGGAGGTTTAGTAGACTAAAGAAGGTAAGAAATGCAGAAAAAAATTAACTAAGGGCAGACACTGAATGTGCCTAATACATTCATAAATTAAAACAGTGTTTCTTACACTTTTTAAGACTGAGGAACACTATTTTTTTTAATGGGGAACACCAAGGATTTTTTTGTCAAGGGAAAAAGAGGGGGGGGGGGAGAACAGCCCCCAGGGAAAATTTGTTGAGCAAGAAGAGAGACAGAAAAAACACACCACCTGACCTGGGAGTCTAAATGTGCCACTACCGCCCCAGGAAGTCTGCCTAATAACAGTCTGAAAACGGAGACCACAAAAAAGTAAGGATAATAATAAACAAATGTGAAATAAGTTCATGTGTCTGGCCAGGAAAGAGAGTAGGGTAGAGAAGGGGTCTTATGATAGGGTGTCTGGCCAGGAGGGAAGGTAGAGGAGGGTCTCGAGCCAGGGTGTCTGGCCAGGAGGGACGGTAGAGGAGGGGTCTTGGGGCAGAATGTCTGGCCAGGAGGGAAGGCAGGAGGGACTTGAGGCAGGGTGTCAGAGCAAGCTGGGAATGCAGGGTCTTGGCAGAGGAAGGGGAGTGAGGGGGGGTTGGGTGGGAGGTCTGGGGGTGAGGGGGGAGGCTTACCTGGCTTGGCACCCTGCTGCAGCAGGGAAAGCATCCAGGGACCACGCTCTTGTTCCTCGGGGGGTGGAGGGGAGGGGAGGAGAGCTCAG